AACGACAGTTTAAGGCATTCATTCACTCATAGTATACACTAATTTAATATATAATAAAAGTGCAAATGTTTAAAACACACTATTATTTATGTGTGACAGACAATGAAACAAAGATGAGAGAGAGAGAGAGAGAGAGAGAGAGAGCGTTGTGATGTGTGATTGTGTGTATTATATACTTACTGTTGTGTGAGTTGATGTCACCGTTTAACTAATGATTGCCAAAAGTAAATACATTTCATCTGCAAAGTCGGTGTCGACTGCTCTGTGGCTAAGATTAATGCATACAATTTGATGAATGGTTTTTCGATTGTGTTTGCAATACTCAATATTCAATACTATATTTGAGTGCAATATATTCTTTAATACATTATCTCTCCTACGCTTGTATTGATTATTAGATAATCGCATCGCTGTTCAAATCCAATCAACACTCAAATACTCTCCCCTCCATCTCTCCAATCTCTCTCTCTCTCTCTCTCTCTCTCTCTGCCTGATTATAGTTTAGGTAAAAAATATTTACTCAAAGATGAGAGTGAAGTGCAGTGATGTGTGAGCACTGATACCCCCTCTCAGGCCTCTCGTCATTATAATCAGTGATAATGTGATTGCATTTGAGAGAAATGATGTGTTTGTATGTCTAAAGCTTCGCTCTTTTGTTTCGATATTTAGTAAAAGCGAGGCATTAATTAATCATATTATTAGCCCGTAATGTATCGCACAGTTTGATTTCAAAGTTAATGTTAGGCTATAATCGAGCCCTCATTACAATCACTTCCTCTCTCACTCTCCCTTCTCAGAGCGCACTCTTCACTGCAAATGAATTAATTGGTAACCAAAAGGGATAGAGAATCAAGTGATTAGAGTCGACACAATTGGCAAGAGTTGGCCACTTATGCCAACCCATTGCTAAATATCTATATATACTGTGAATGAGAGACAATAATACAAAAGATGCGGTAATTAATCATTAAATTCATAAAGAGACTGTTGAGACAACACTAGGGTCTGGAAAGCGAGCAATTTTAGGTCTGAAGTGGCATTAAATGCACAGAATATGCAGATTCGATGGCATTGTCTACTAAAGCAAAGTATTGACATTTTTAAGTGCATTAATATTTGGCTCATTTTGTCGACACACAAACGGCAAGTGATGTTTTGGGCGCAGATGTTCTCTCCTTTGGTCATCCGAGTTGTCTCTCTATTTCTCTATTACTGACTCCCAGTGATCGGTGACTACAGTTCCTACACTTCCCAACTAATACATACTTATATTGCTTTCTAAACCACTAATACTGTGCCCCGAACTGCAATCATCGACACACAGTAGGTATAGAGGAGTACATTATAAGGCGTTCACAACAAAATATTATATAAAATATGATAAAAATCAGATATTATTTACATTGAATATGGTTACAGACATTGACTATTATTATTCTTCTTCACTATATCATAGATTATTTTTTTTGTAAAAAAAAAGTTGTAAATTGCATTTTGAGTCCATATGTTATGCGGCTTTTTATCAGTTTAAACGGTCGACCAAACAATTTATTCATAGCTATTGAAGACATTGAAGATGTAATCAAAAAAAGAGAGACTGAATATAAGTTAGAGTCAAATCCAATTCTAATGACAATCTTTTTTCTTATATAATAGCCTTAATATGAATAGGAAGTAACAAATGGTTGTAAGCATTAAGAGGTTAGCATCACATCAATCAATGCCTATCAGTCCATACGTAGGCGTTTTGAATGATAGCATTATATTTAGATATTTAGCAATAATTTATTAAATGCGTGACAAACGGACAGACTTTCGCCACAAGTTTCAAACTTTTTCACAAATTCAATACCAATGCCATACATATTAAACAAGTTTTTAGGACTTAAAAACTAATTTCAGTTTTAAAATAATATATCTCTCGTATATTTCTCATTCATCTCTCATTCGCTTTAAAAGCATAAAACAAGTAAAGAATTGATAAAAATAGGGATTAAATTGAAGGCAAGTTTTTTTTGTTGAGAAAAAATTGTTATGGTTTTCAATCAACCGCTCGTTTGCAGTGTTTAGAAAGTGTGCAAATTATAAGTCATAAAATCGATTCAAACAATGTGTACAAAACATAATTAATCACTTTTATAATGATCTTTAAGATGGGTTTGAAGCAAAACTCGTCTTCAATACAATTGTAAACAACTCGCTCTCTATAAAGTGAATAATGAAATGCTCTCTAATTATAATTAAACAATAATTGCAATAATTATTGCAAACAAAAAATTGCCTCAAAATCTGATACTTGAAAATTGCTTTTATCTCTGTTTTTGGCAACTTTTAACTTTTAAGTGCATATAAAGTCGTGTTTATAACCAATATATAAACTAGAAGTGAATTGATTGACTCAAATTGTATAAAACTTTTTTGTGGTCAGACATGCAATTAGTTTAAGTCAAAGTCTTACATAAAAACGGGCAAAATGTTTGAAAATCTAATTTTTAAGGCAATCATAAATTATTTTTAGCTAAATGTAAATTAATTCAAATCAAGTCTATATTATAGGCAATAATAAAGTGATAAAATGATTGAAATTAAACTTTTATATCCAATTTTGAAATAAAACGAAATGATATGAACTTTTTTAGATAAGTTTAGTTTAGACATTGAGAAAGTGAGAGAGAGAGAGAGAGAGAGAGAGAGAGAATATTCGACTATTTGACTATGAATTTAAAGATTACGAGTTGTAATAAATATGAGTTTTGCAAAAATAAAGTTTAATTTTGTATCACTTTTTCTTTGGAAGAGACTATAAGTTGCAGAACGAGTCTAACACCTGAAGACAGACATCAGTTAAACTTATAATTCAATTGTTTGATATTTTATGCCATCAATAATGACTTTTAGGCTTTAGTTTAAATATATTTTGATGAATTGCTGTACGTTTTGCGTTGCAATTAAATTGAAATAAATTTTTTTAAAAACATTTTGATTTATGTACGGGTTTATAGACTTAAGCGCCAGAATCTATACGATTCTCAATCGGACTCTAACTGTTGGTTTGTGTTTAGAGTTTATACGCAAACAAATCGATGAGAATTTAAATTTAAATAATTGGCGACAAAGAAAAACAGTTTTTAGACATTTATTAGTTTAGTAGAAGTCGTGTAGAAATAGAGCGTGAAATCAAAGACATTCATATGAATTGTGTTAAACCGTATAAATCATGAAACCGAGTGAATACACAAAACTTTTTACAAGAATACATAACATTTATGTTATAATATTTGCATTTAAAACACAAGATAAATGACTGGATATTAATATTTTCAAAATACACAAGAATTCACACCTTTTATAAGATCTCTGGTAATCTGTTTTGAGGGGTAAACGCGATAAATGGCTTAAAATCAGGCCTCCGTCGGAACGGTTGCAAAGGTAGGGGGAGTTTGAATGCAGTCCTAGAAACTAATTAATTGACATGAAATTCACACAACGGGTCATAAATGTCTCAAATATTTATACACTATTTTTTATATTCATATATAAAACGAATTCTTTTATTTTGGTGAGTATTGCCATAAAAAATATAGTGAAAATAGTTGTAAGTTTTTATGCATTTTTCAAATACAATGTTATATGTGTTGCAAATAAAGTTTTTTAGAGGCAAACCATTTCCGAAAAGCACTTTCCATGTTATGCCCCAACGCTTTAGTGAAGGCGTGTTTGCATTCATATTATATGCGAGTATTGAGCGAAAAATTTATCTCCGATTCCGAAACGAAATTAAATTTTGTTTCATTCGTTTAGGGGTTTGATGTATAAGTTTGTCAGTATTAGCACACAATTGAAATGCATTTTTTATGGAAAACTCATAATTTGCTCACATTTTTTGATACTAAAACTCATAAAAAGAGATAATATGTGAGCGAAAGATGAAAAATCTTTGTCTCCCAAAAGTCAATAAATTCTTTTTATCACAAATATCTTCGAAACAACTCTTTAAGAATTAATCGCTTTATTTACGAATATTTTCGAAAAACATATAAATAAAAAGAATCTATATTTAGAAATGAGAGAGAGAGAGAGAGAGAGAGAGAGAGAGAGAACCTACCTTTGCAACCGTTCCGACGGAGGCCTGATTTTAAGCCATTTATCGCGTTTACCCCTCAAAACAGATTACCAGAGAGAGAGAGAGAGAGAGCACATAAGTCTGTCATATATGTTTGTGTCAGACAAGTGTTTGTATTTATCATTTTAGATAACTTTTATAACAAGAAATTCAACACAAGATTGAAATTAACTGTAAGTTTTGTCTTCATATAAAGCGAGTTATATTTCTAATCAGTATTAAATTTTTGTAAACAATTTGCAATTCATTTATTTAATTCTATAAATTTGTTTTGAGATAAACACAAGACATCGATAACGGAATCCAAACATCAGTGGATGTGTCCCTCAAAGAAGTGCTTTTTCTTTCAAAAAAGTCAGTCGACGTCGCGATTAAACACAACTCAAAACTCAAATCAAATAAATATAATAGAGATTGAGATTACTTTTGATGAATATTCCTCACAAATAGCGAAATATGTTTTCATTTCAGATATCGTTTATATAAAGCGCAACGATTTTGATCAACAATTTTATAAACAAACTTTTTTAGTGATTAGGAAAAGTAAACAAAAAACACTTTGACAATCAATTATCGGAGATAACCATCATATTTATTGACGACAAATACGTGCCAACACTATTCAAACATTTATCAAACATTTACTTGTTTTATATAAAATTAGTTATGAATTTTTTTTTTTAAACTTTAAAAATTATCACAAAATTTATTATTTAATTTAATAATAATTAGAATAATTCAACACATTATGAAGAGTAGAACAGTTAGTGTGTATTGAAATGTCTTGTAAATTAAGCTCTTAATAATGTATTACTAATTCAAATAATTTGTTTAATAGAAATGCAATGCAATTGAAACAAATGCAAGCTATCGTTGATTGCTATCAAAAAGTATATAAATATAAACAATTTATTATAATTATAATTTACTCAAATCTCATCAATAGTACAGTAGTTAAGCACTTAAGCACTCATGTATTGGGCACTGAATACAGCGGTCGTCCGACCCGTGGAGTAGAAGTGGTAGGCGTTTGCTGTTGTGTTGGGCTGTAGTTCAACGCTAATTGGGAATGCATTTCAAGTTATTTTTTAGAAAAACATTAAATTTAGGATAATATGAAATGTCATACCTCTGTGTCCTTTCAATGAAGGCGTGTGAGTGTCGGCCAGGAATGGAGAGCCCATATTGGATGGCACTGTTGTGGTCGCGCCCGCACTAAACATCACTTTTGACTGAAAGTACTTTGAAAACACAATAACCAAAACAATACCAACGATGACAGTGAAG